CTCCAAAAAGTCTGGATTTTATTAGAATTGAAATTCTGTACCCCGTTTTCCCCCTTTTGATCAGGATTCTTCTGTGGACTGTAATGAAAATGTTGAGTAATGGTAGCTGAGCACCATCCAGTTCTTCTGGTCTCATGGCAAAGGAGGCAGTTGTTCATGGAGGCAGTTAGCTACCCATTCCATATCTTCCTCCTATTCCTGACTCTCCTTCTTCCTCTGTTGCTCCAGGCAAATAGAGATCAGTTGTTGTACCTTGGATGGCAGCTTGGTGTTTCAAAATTTTTGAATGCAGACTGGAAGTGGTTGAAATAAAAAGAAACAATTAAGATTTTGTCCTTTGTGGAGAGGAAACCATTTCAATTTTTACTTGGTATTCTGTGGTAGGACAGTGAGCTATAAATAATCCAGGGAACTTGAATTTGCTGTTATGCTTGAATGTTTTTATGGCTCCATTTCCACCATGATAAATATAATCACTTTCACTTGGATGCATATGCAGTTTTGTATATGGATGGGTGGAATTCCTACTTCAGTGAGCATAGGTTGATAGATAAAAATCTTTATAAAACTCAAATTTCATTAATTTATGCTCCACCAATTTTGCGTTTTGGATCATTTGAACAGGGACCAAGCAGAAGTTTCTTTTAGTATTATCCATGAAGACAGGATTTGAGGAGCAAGTTAATGGCATAGAGAAGATTTGGGAGGTATCTGATACGTTTGTAGTGCTAACTGATAACCTATTCATTAATTGAGATGGATGCACAACAGATTTACTTGAAATTGTCTAATTCTGAGTGATTAAGTACAGCTGATCCTTACCTACTGGTTTTGAGTACAGGTTACGGAGTTTGCACAGGTTATGGGAGCCCTGTGTCTAGAGGTTGCTGCGGGAATCTCTAGCCTTTATCTGATGGGCAGGAAGTTGTTATTATACATATTTTTATCAGTGAGCTAGATACCCTAGTACTGACCATGGTGTCAGTGGAATGCTAGTTTCTAATTTAACTTCTTTGGAGTCACCGGTGTGACAGTGGAGAGCTAAGCAGGGCAGAAGAGGGGGTAGACATTGTGCAGAGGTGTTTAAAGGCCATAATCTTAGTAATCTCGGATAGCTCATAGCCTAGGGTTTGGACTGGGCTAAATGGTGAATATGTCAGGAGCATCACTAGACATTTGTGGTGGTGGTGTTTTTTTAATTTTATTTATTTTGTTGTTGTTGAAAATGTACACAGCAAAACATACACCAATTCAGCAGTTTCTTCAGGTACCATTTAGTGACAGTGATTACATTCTTCAAGTTGCGCAACCATTCTTACCCTCTTTTTCTGAGTTGTTCCTCCCCCATTAACATAGACGTTTGTCTTTTTTTTACAGTACTTAATATCAGTCACTTTATGCTGTAGACCACCGAAACAAAAAGGACCCAAACCAGCTGGCTGTCAGTCGATTCTGACTCACACTCATCCTGTGTGTTGTAGTTAGATTTTTCAAGCTGTGACATTTTGGGAGCAGATCTCCAGGCCTTTCTTCTGAGGCACCTCTGGGTGAGTTCAGACTGCCCTTTTGCACTCCCTAATGACTCCACTAGAAGGAGCCATCCTATTTTAAGGAGAAACATTCATTACCAACAGGATGGCATCTTGGTTGTTGGAGAGGGGTGTATCTGACATCAGTTTTATTCTCACCTTAGAACATTTAGGGCTTTGGGAATGGCTGCCATGTTGGTCGGTTCTCAACAGTTTGTACTTGCCTTGTACACGTCACCCCTTTAGTGAGTGTTCACATAAGTTCTATGAGACATTTTTGGAAAGCTGGGGCATTTGGCCGGGAGTTTTTATATTCTGAGGTAGGTTGACTAGCAGAGGGGCATATGACGGGGCTTTTTTGTTCATCTTTTCTGTCATATTCTTGGAGTACTTAGTAGTAGGGTTATGATTTCAATTCTACCTTAACTGCTTACATCTAGGCTCTGGTGGCCTCATTGCACTGTCCTGGTACATTTCCTCACAACCTGACAGAGCTTCTCTTTCCCTACATCAGTGATTTGCTGTCTCCTTGTACTTACTTTCTGCTAGAGGATACCACAGTATACCAAGCGGTATCTGCAGAGATGTCTGGCTCTTCCCAAAGCCAGAAGTGTGTACTTGAAAGTGTTCTGTGTAAAGCATTGAGATTTCAGATTTATCACTTTGTGAGACCAATTGCAACGTGCTAAGGTACCTTTGGAAACCCTGTGTGGTGCATACATGCTAACTCAAAGGTTGGAGGTTTGGGTCCACCCAGAGGCGACTTGGAATACAGGCTTGGCAACCTAACTTCTTAAAAATCAGCCATTGAAAACACTATGGAGCTCTACTCTGACACACGTGGGGTTGCCATGAATCAGAATCAACTTGATCTACATTTCTGTGCATCAAGGGATATTAATCTGTTTTTGTGTTGAAGGCCACATAGTGCCTACCACTTTGTTAATCACTTACTGTGGTTGGCCTGGGGGGCATTTTGTGACAGTAGGATTAGCATTTTATGCACAGACACTTGAAACATTGCTGTTTGGTAAGCTTTTCAGCTGTATGTTGAAAGTCTTCCAAGTGTTTCATGCTTTCAGTTGAAGTGGGGAAATTAGAACGGAATCCAGTATTGTGGAAGGGAGATTTATTGTATGGAAGTACAGTTTTGAGTTTTATCCAAGCATTTCTCTGATAACTTCAATAACTTCTCTTGATTTTTCCGGTAGTGGCTTTGCCTTGGGAATCAAGACTCTGCCCTCTTGTGATCACGGACAGCTCTCGAAAGGCATTAGTCTCATCAGTGAAGAGCTGGATATCTAGAACCTGAAGAGACTCTGGTGTAAAACCAACACTGGAAAAACAAGATCATTCAAGATAGGAGGCTGAAGAACTCTTTATTTGACGTTATCTCCAGAGGTGGACTTCCAAAAAAAATTGGGACTTAAAGATTGTCAGTAATCCAGACCGGTGTGTTTTATTTGTAACAGAAAGATGACTACTCTGCTGGTACCTGGTGTTGTCCAAATATGGAGCAAGAAGACTGGGATGACTAAGTCAAAAGAAGCATTCATTGAAATAGTGGAAGGAAAGAAGAGAGAGAAATTGGTGATCCATTTTAACACTGAAGAATTTATAAAGACATTTCAGCTAACTAATAATATTAGAAATGTGGTCTTTAGATCCTATGGGGGAAACCAAAATCACCTGCATATAACCTTCCAAAACAGTAACTTCTTGTTTATTGACAAATTATCCTACAGCAATGCCGAACAGTTGAAGACGATCCTGGACAAGCATCAAGACAAGCTTCATCCATCCATGCAGCCTATTAGAGATGAGGGTATCTTTTCCAGAACAACAACACGGAAGGAAATCGAAACTTCATTTCACAATGTTTGTAAGAAGTTACATAGTGGATCCTTGGAGACAGCTGAAGGAAGTGCAACAGCTGTTCTTCAGAATATGTTTTCATTTACATCAACATCATCAACACATGTCCATACAGGGCTATTAGAAAGTGGACATGGGAAGAGCAGAAGAAAGTCATCTGGTTCAGAAATGAATGATGACTTCCTGGAAAACGATAATTCTGTACTTGACGAGAAATCAAATACAAACCCGTTGAGGTATGTAAGCCACACTCAAGAGAAACAATTGGATTTAAAAGGGTTAAAAGATATGAGGAAAGTGAAATTTGGAACTTCATTTGAGATGATGCCTACTGGAAACCCTCACTTACACAGTATTCATTTTATGCAAACACTATCTCGCAAAAGCCTTCTGGCATTTTTGTTCGAACCCAAGTATAACCAGGATGACCTAGAAGAGTGGGAGGAGCACGAACTGTCCTTTGACTTCTTCACAGAGACCCAATGGCAAGGCCTCCCCAATTTGGGAAACACTTGTTACATGAATGCAGTTTTACAGTCCCTATTTTCAATTCCATCATTTAATGATGATTTACTCAATCAGAGTATCTTAAGGGGTAAAGTTCCCTTCAGTGGTCTTACCTTGTGCTTGGCACAGCTGCTTGTTTTGAGAAATACGGACAACCTAAAAGTCAAGGAGAAAATACTGGTAAATATTAAGAAAGCCATTTCAGCAGTCGCAGGGATCTTTTCTGACGACATCCAGAACGATGCTCATGAGTTTTTAGGCCACTGTTTAGATCAGATGAAAGAGAACATGAAAAAATTCAAAGCAGTTTGGGAGAATAAATGTGAGTTTGAGAAAGGAAATTCACCTCAACAGGCTTTTGCTGATAATGCTGCCACCAGGGTGCTTGTTTGTCCTGTCACTACTAATTTCGAGTTTGAGTTGCAGCGCTCTCTTACTTGTAAAGCCTGTGGTCAGGTTGTTGTCAAGACAGAACCAAGTAATTATCTCTCTATCAACCTTCCCCAAGGAACGAAGGCAGTCCCATTGTCTATTCAGTCCACTTTTGATCTTTTCTTTGAAGCAGAAGAACTTGAGTATAAATGTGAGAGGTGTAAGCACAAATGTTCAGTTGCAATACATAAATTTAGTAGGCTACCCAGGGTCCTTATTGTTCACCTGAAACGCTATAGCTTTAATGAGGCTTGTTCCTTAAAAAAGGATGGCCAGAATGTCATTGTTTCCGGACATTTAAACTTGTTTTCTCATTGCAATGAAAGCACCAAACCACCTCTTCCCCTGGGAAGCTATGCACATATTTGGGATTCTCAAGCCGAAAAAGTCTCTGAAAAAATGAATTCTGGAACCATCAGCCCACTGGCACCTTCAACAAAGTTGGCCTCAGAATCTAAAGATTCCTTGACTCTATTCCTTGGATCAGACAAGGAGACTGAGTCACAAAAATGCCAGGGACTCTGTAAAGGGTCAAGCAGAAAACAGCAGCAGAAAAACCCAGGGAAAGGTTCTAGGCTCGATACAGTAGAATCAGAATTAGTAAGCTCAAGATTACAGGCAGTCAGTGAAAAAGACCTGCTAGCAGGAGGCTTAATGATGTATCAGGAAGACATCTCCCTTTCTCTGATCCGTGAAGATGGAAGTAAACCCATCAGCAGCCTAGGCGCAGGTCTTGCAGAAGTTCATCTTCAACAGATGTCTAAAAATCCAGAACTTACAAAATACAAGAAACCCAACAAGTTTTTAGAGTTAGATTATGACTGTGCTCAAATTCCAGAAGGATCTGAAGAAGTGGCTGTACAGCCCCACAAGTATGATTGGATGAAGTTCTATGGGCATTTCTCTCAGCAGGCACTGCCTCCAAGCCTTCAGAAGCCAGATGCCCAGGGGCACACGGAGAATTTTAGAAGACCTACAGAATTAAGTCTCCAGGAGGCTAAAGTGAAATCACTGGGTGCATTGCGTTCCAGCAACAACTCTGGAAAAAAAGACATTTTAGATAGGAAGAAGAAAGAAACTAAAGCTAAGAAACGAGAAAGAACAGCTCTGAAGATAGGTCCTCATGCCTATCGCCTCATCAGTGTTGTCAACCATCTTGGGAGTAGCCCACATTCAGGCCATTATATCAACGATGTGTACAACTTTGAGAGGCAGCTCTGGTTCACCTTCAGTGATATGCAGGTAACAGTTTTGACAGAGGTCCCGATGAAGGGCTGTAGGCTTTCCTCAGGGTACATCTTCTTTTACATGCACAATGAGATCTTTGAAGAGCTCTCGAGAAGGGAAGAGAACTCCCAGCTTTATAGCACAAAAGCAGGGGAGAAGTCTCAGAAGGAGTAAGAGAAACAAATTTTTGGTTACACAGATCTGTTGACTTGCCTCTATGCAAGGAAAACTCTGAACTCTATCCAGAGATGAAGAGGCAATTATTAGCCCAGGACCAAAGTTCATACAGAAACACTTGTGAGTGAATCTCTAATCTGCCACAGACATATCAATCACATATGTCAAGCTGATAAGCACCCTTCTCCCCTACCAAACTAAAATGGTGCTTTCCATATTCTAATACAGTGGTTTTAAAAGTCCATTCCTACAATCAGCAGCAGCAGCATCACCAGGAAACGTATTAGAAATGCAAATATTCAGGTCTCACCCCAGTGCTACTATAAATCAGAAACTCTGGGGCTGGAGCCCAGCATTGTCTAATGGACATTCTGATGCTCAAGAACGTTTGAGAACCACTGCTGTAGTGTGTATTTTTGGTGTATTTTGTTTTGTATGTTTGAATTGCTTGTTTCTGTAAAGTGATCACATTTATTGTGTTTCTCCTATTCATGTAGATATTTCCATTTTAAATGTATTAAAACCAAAACACAAAATCTCTCTTCGATGATCATACTCACAGTGGATGAAGAAAAAACAGAAATTGCTGAGGTCTTGGCAAAAAACAGTAAATGAGACTGGTAATTTTTGAATCCTCTTGGGCATATGTAGATAGGACTTAACCCCAGGTCAAGTCTACAGACTGGGTGCTAAACCCCTCCTTTTCTTTAATGCCAAAGGGGTCACATGCCATCAAGCTTTGGCTGCCTAACTCTCTGAGGAAGGAGAAGTTGATTTGCCCTCAAGAAGATGGTTCCTTTCCTGTTTGTCTGCTAGAAAGGCATAGGATGTTAATGACTTGAGCCCATTTTGCTGTTTTTGTCTTCTCAAAGGAGTGCTTGTATTGCCTTAAAGGAGCGTTGTTTACCAGCACTTTATCTGGCACTCCTTGGACAATCTTCTGCGTTCAACTTTAGAAAACTAATGCCAGATTTTTACAATTTCTCTGGACCTTATAGCATAGTGACCTTGTTCCTACAAGGAGTAAACAATACATGCCTTAAAGTGGACTTGTAATTATGATTTGAAAGTCTTACTTGTTAGTAATGTCAAAAAACCTACAGGGAGATTTTCTGCTTCAGGGTAAAAGACTTACAAGTCCTGGGGCATTCATATCTGGTTGGATCTCCATGTCCTTCAGGGTTAACAGTTCACCTGAGATTTAGCATGTGCCGTCTCTGTAACATTGAGTTCCTGCTTTCATAGCGGGGAATCGGTTGGCACCTTGCACCTTTGTTATGACTAAATGACTTGTATAAGAAACTTTTTTGAAAATTTTTTTTGGAATTTCAGTCCTTTAATAACTTGGATGGGCTGACTTTGTGTATGAAGTATGGTGTTAGTATGGCTGTATCAATCCAAAAGCTTGTTGATGCTCTTAATCCCAGGAATGTAGTGATGTCAGGAGGTAAATAATGCCCTCTAAGGGGAACACCTAGGCTGTAAACTGTATAGGAGATTACAGTTTAGGAAACCCTATGAGACAGTTCTACTCTGTCTTATAGGGTCACTATGAGTTGGAATCAACCTCACAGCATCCAACAACAACAACGGGAAGATCACATTCCAACATTTGGAAATTCTTCCAGAACACATTGCAACCGGAAGGAGGTAGGATTGGAACCTGAAGATTGTTGAGGCATCTGGGGAAGGCATCCTGGATTGAACTCATCACTCTTGGTGGAAGAAGGCACTGCAGACTAAACAATGAGAGAGTTAGTCAATCTGTATAGTTTGTCAACAGCTGGAGTGGTTAAAGGATAAGGTTAGAGTTGCATTTAGAGGAGGGGAAGGAGCAGTTTGGTCTCTGAGAGTTCTGCTTTAGAATAGTTACAATGTTAGAATTACAGTTGTGTACTCTTTAGGAGAGGCTGAATAGTCAAAGCTGAGCCTGGTCACATAGGAGTCAGAACACTTGTTGTGTTAAGAGTGAGGACAAAGTTGTTTTTGACAAAGAGTGTGGAGAAGCGAGTATGTTAAGGGATACAGAAAATTCTGGTTTGAAGTACAGAGGATTAGGCAACCTGGACGTGATACTCTTCAGCACGTAGCACATCCAAATGCAGGTCGAATTGGAAGACGAAGAGGTAGGAGTATACATGGAAGGGTAGAATCCTTGGTGGAATCCATCGTTGCCCTATGAAGAAATTCTGAGTGTATCAGTGACTGGTTGTATGCAATTTACATGTTATGTTATACTGTTTATTTCAAATAAAAGACTTGAAGAAGTTTTCATTGATTCTGCAGGTGTTATTTTAGATGTAAATTGGTTCTCTAATTTATGGGTCAGGTTTCTGGGTGATTCATGGTCAAAAATTTCAACATTCAGTGTATTAGTTTTCTGTTTTTGCTGTAAGCAGTTACCATGAATTTAGTAGCTAAAAACAAAATTTATTATCTTATAGTTGTGGATGTCAAAGTGCATATCACTGGGCTAAAATCAAGGTGTATGTAGGGCTGTGTTCCTTTTAGGGGAGAATCTATTGCCTTTTGCAGCTTCTAGAGGCCACCCACATTCCCTGGATCATAACCCTGTTTTTAAAGCCACCAATGACGAGCCAAGTCCTTACACTAGCATTCCTCTGGTTCTCCCTCTTCTATCCCCGTAACACTATTAAGGACATTTGTCATCACATTGGGCCCACCCAATAATAATAATTATCCAGAATAATCTCTTTATGTTAAGGTCAGCTGATTAACAATCTCAATTCCATCTTTAACCTTAATTCCCCTTTGTCTTGTAACAATATATTTGTAACTTCTAAGGATAGTGAAGCCCTAGTGGCGTGGTGGTTAAGACCTTGGCTGCTAACCAAAAGGTCAGCAGTTTGAATCCACCAACCACTCCTTGAAAAAAAACCTATGGGGCAGTTCTACTCTGTCCTATAGGGTCACTATGAGTTGAAATTGACTCAACGGCAATGGTTTTTTTTTTTTTGTTTGTTTTTATAAGCATTAGGACAAGGGCATCTTTGGGGGGAGGGTATGGGTCATTAGTCTGCCTACCACACATGCCCAATAATAACAGTTAACGGAATACTATAGTAGAAGAAAAAAATAGGGCAATTGAGGACTTCCCCCCTGTGGGAGTAAATGTTTGTGTCACTCTACCAGGTAAATAACGCAAATCGCCAGAGGTTTTGACTGAGGACAAGGGAAAGATGTAATTGATCATTGTGCTACGACCTCATGACTTAGAGAACAAGGAAAGCCTAGTTCTGCAGATTTTCTGTATGCTTATTAAACACGTTTGTGTATAATCCATATTCTCTTTATGTTGCTTCATATTTATGCATAAGTTACTGGAGGTTAGCTTTACAATTTATTCTTTAACAATATTCATTGAGATCATGATATGGATGCAATGACTGTTGGGTACAAGGGAAGACTTCACTTACTGAGGAGCAGTATATCTCGTTAGGTAGAAATACAGAACTATATTGCTGTAAGGGAGTTAGATTATGTTGAGGGGTGTATATGGAAGCTGAGTAACCAAAGGGGTGGGCTGTGCCAGTTATCAATATATTCACTCTTCATTCTCTGCAATAATGGACACAATTTTTGTTTACAACAAGCACAATGTTGAGCTTTCTCAGTAGAGGATGACGGAGAGACGCTAGGTAGAAAGGGATTTGCTACTGTTTCCAGCAGCTGCAGGGTGGATCGGCGGTGTGGTATGAGGATATCTGGTGGTGTGTTATCCCAGCCACAAGCCCAGAATGTGTGGTCCCTAAGGACCTTGCAGCCCCACCCTTGCCTGGTGATCACTCCTGGTGCCATCTCAACATGGACACCATGTACTCCATGTCTCTGTCCCACACCAGATTTCTGATTCCCTCTGTGCACTTGCCCCTTCTTAGGTTTATATCCCACAGTCCTGATGATGCCTACTCGTCCTGACCTGATCACAGCACTACCCCCAGCCTGTCAGTCTGCCCTGCAGACCTGGCTGTTACTGGTTGTGGCTCATCTGCACCCTGCCTATGTGTTGGAGGGTTGCCAGGGGGCCCCCCAACTCCAAGACCATACATTGCATGACACTTACCTGAACCCTGCCTTTATCCTTCCACACTCTAAAAGGGTGCTTCCTGCTTGCCCAGTGACTGCAGACCAGATCTGGCTCAGGCAAACCCGCGAACTTCTCTGCCGTGTAGTGGCCTGCTACTTACACCTTCTTCAAGCAGGTCTGAGCCTTAGAGCTGGCTAGTGGGCCGCCTTTCCAGGTTTTTTGTTCTTGGGTACTCTCCTTCAGCCTGAGGCTATGTATTCTTCTTATACCTTTTAGTGGCTCTTTTATCATAGTTTGATAATTCCTTTTATTAAATTTCTGCTGGTTAAATTACTGTAGTTTCTATGTCCTAATTGGACCTAGGCCGATATAAAAGCTGAGCATATGAATTATTCTAGTTAAAATAGTTCCAGTTAAATCCAAGGGTTTTCATGTGGGATGTTTTTGATTTTATTTCATGCCACTTTTTGGTATAAAGCAGCACAAAATATGCTTGACTGAGAACCATAATACTCCAGTTGCTGGTATACCTCTTATTTCCATGCTTTTTCTGTTATGTGGCTAATAGGGACCATGAGATGGTTTTATGGATGATTGCAGTTCAGACAGGATCACATGTCAATGACAGGGACTTTGAGCTAGAACATAACTCTCTAGCGCTCAAGCTCTTTTTCTAAAAACCTCATTCCACTTGTAGTCCCCAGGTCAACCCCACCCAGTAAAACCATTTCAAAAGAGCAGCCTTAACAAAATATGTTTCTGTAACCAAGTAGAGTGGATTATTTCCCCCAAAAGACACCCGAAAGTTTCATATCTGAGATTATCAACTATATTAGACACAGCCCAATTCATTGTCTGGGGTAATTCATCGAACACACAAGTATACTTAACAGCTTTTCTGCCGGAAGGACAGACAGGCTACTCTTTCAAACTTAATGTGTCACGTAAG